TATCAATCGAAAGGAGACTGCGACCACACCAGAGGCCACAACATCTTGGTCTTCATATATTCAATCATACTCCTCTTGTCTATATAGTTGACATTCCCATATAAACCTAGCTTACTGGGATGATGTTCATGCGTATGTATGCTGGCTGGTATCCCCCTTGGTCAAGCCTGTCACCAGTTACCTCCCCTTCAGATACAGATACGAAAAATATACACAACACCTGCACATGCACACGTGTAACCTCTACATATGGCCTTTAATTTCATATCTTACATCTCATAGGTGAAACCCCTGGGTAAATCTTTTGCCAATTCCACGTCCGACTACTCTTACTGAAGTCAGTTTTTCTTGATTTCTCTTTCTCCTCATAAGCCACCCCTTGGTGATGTCTCTTCCTGTTGTTAAAAAGTTGCCCAAGCGTCTTCTTTTTGTTGTCTTCGCTGAATCTCCAAGTCTACTCAGGCAATACGCGAAAGTATCGCTAACTCTTGCCTCTTCCAATCTCTTATTAATCAGGTTTCTTTGAAAGAGGATGTCCTCAGCCCTACTGATCATCCGCTTCCTGGTATTTTTCCCATATGAGACCAGTCCTTCCGTTGAATTCCATTCAATTGTGTGGCCGGTAAGGGCGATGTGTTAAGCTATCTCCGATCTTTCCGTATCCCTTTTTCTGCATAGTCGCTGGTGTTCTTTGATACTTGTGTTGATTGTCCTTCCCGTCTCTCCTATGCATTTTTGTTCACAGTTCTTGCAGTTTATGCTGCAAACTCTGGAGAACTCCATTTTGTTGATTTCTTCATGCTGTGTGGGCAAGCTGGTCATGAAGGTTGTCCTTTCAGTATTGTACCAATGTTCTATTTCTCCAGTATTGGCCTTAGCTTCCGAGCCAATTCCCAGGAGGTTAGACATCTATCATTTTTCCTCTTTTCCTCTTGACTTTCTTTAATAATCTCCTACCTTTCATCTGTTCGTCACCATCCCTATGTTGTGTTGTATTGCTTCTTCTGAATATCAGTTTTCAATACTCATCGGAGTCAGTTTTGCTAGTTCTACTTCTCAGAACTCAGAATAAGTGAATCGTAGGACTTGTATGACCACACTCTGGAGTATTTCAATTTTCATTCCATAAGCAAACAGGATCTGATACCGGTGGTGGAGGTGATTATGCTTCATCAAACCTACTTGTAGCGATACACTCTTGGGCGACATTGGAGAAAATCAGAGCACAGAATTGTGTGAATAAGTGGATGGGCCATATAAATGGGGTTGACACTAGGTGGAACAAAAAATAGGGACGAGGAGTGATGCCACAACGGTTGAACATAAAAATTGCCTTTACTTCTCACTTTGATAAGTTGTCACTCTGTGCTGACGATTCCGGCGAAACCTTTTGGAATATAACCAGCCAATGGTCCAATGCTGGAAATCACGAATACTATGGCAGAGGACATGGCGATAGGTACGTTCCACAAGGTCTCCCTGATGCCCCGTCTAAGTTGCGAAAACTAGGTCGAACCAACACTGTAAATCTAAATGAGACTACGATCAAACAAAGGCTACAAAATTTTGGTCTTCATACCTACATTATTAAATTTAACCCTACATTTGACTAATATATTTCACATGCAACAACATTATTCATTTTTTAATATTTTTATTGTCTTATTCCCTCAAGGTGAGTTTTCTTATAGAGCTTTTGATAATTTAGAGTTACTTATTGACGTACGCATTGCTCACACATAAGCCTAACGTTCTCATAGTTGAATCCTTTTTTCTAACTGGCTTAAATGCTTCAAAATTCTCATGGATCAAGCGCTATTTTCTACTAATTACTGTGGCCTTCCTTATA